TCTGTCAAAGTCATCTACTCCGTCCGTTATCCTTTTTCTTGCAGGATACGGTTTTGGCTCAGAAAGTGAGTGAGTGCTCCTATATTCCTTAATGATCCTATAAACACTGGACCGACATACTCCAGAAATATGTGCTACCTTACATATAACTTCGTCCACGACCAAATCGGGTTTTTCTTGAATTTGGTTTTTGTATATATTTAATATTATTTGTTTTTCATTTGCACTTAAATGTAGCTTCTTAGCCCTTTTTTTGGGTGGGGTTGCGCTGATGTCAACCACTTCGTCGGCTGTATCTGTGTTAGACATCGTATCTTAGGCAATATACACATTAGTAACTTTGTTATTAGTGAAAATACAAAGTTGTTTGAATTAGCAAACTAGTAGCATTTTTAACGCTGGTAAAAATGAGAAATAAAAAAAAACAATTGAGAGTCGTTATTTTGATTTTTTTCAGTAAAATAGCATTTTTTTAAATGGAAACCCCTGTATATTATATTTTTTTCTGTTAAAGCATCAAATTTTAAACAAAAAAGCTTACAATAACTTTTCTCCTAGGTTACAAATTGTTGAAGTTATGGCCTCCAATCTGAAACAATTAAATTGTATCGACAAACTTTATTTTCAACATCAACTTATAATCTTACAAAATACAATAACAATTTTTTTTAAAGAAGATGCTCGAAAACACCACCTTGTTCTTCAATACATTTTTGGGCACGTTTTTCAACTGCTCGAACTGTCTTAAGTATGGTCCTACCATCTATCTGGGTTATCTTTTCCCTAACTGCAGTCTTTAACGCGTCAAGGTTATCGTACCATCATTGTTTTCCAAAGCCTTCTAGTTGCGAGTATGTCCAGTTTAACAATTTGTCGCTTATCCTAATGCTGTCAAATCGCGAACGCCATGTTGTTTTCATAGCCGTCTTAATATTATAATACTGCAAATAATTAAAAATATTTATCGTTATTTTGACTTTATTTTTGACTTTAGCGGAAAAGTCATTATGAACTTTTTTGTTTAAAATTTGATGCTTTAATAGAAAAAAATATAATATACAGGGGTTTCCATTTAAAAAAATGTTATTTTACTGAAAAAAATCAAAATAACGACTCTCAATTGTTTTTTTTTTATTTCTCATTTTTACCAGCGTTAAAAATGCTACTAGTTTGCTAATTCAAACAACTTTGTATTTTCACTAATAACAAAGTTACTAATGGTGGACACTTAATTTGGATAACCCTGTATAAACAAAACGTTCCACTCGCGAAAAACGAGTATACGCTACTGAATGCGTAATGCGTATGCAATGCAATCCTGTGCGTGAATTAACTGTTAGATGCCTGTCGTGTCATCTACAATCACGTTTACAAGTCCAAACCTGTGCAGATTCGTAGAGCGCCGACGACTGCTAGTGACCTTGAATTTGTCTGTAGATCGATGTTACTCCAGTCAATTTAGGTTCAAAGTGGATGTTTTCTAAACCAATTTGTTGTTCCTACATCAAAAATATATCGATGATGTTTTGTACTGGGAGCTCATGAAAGATCAGGGTAACTTATTTTAACAGTCATCCTTTTTCTAGTCTCAAGATGACACGAAAAAGGGTCTGTGGATTCACTAGAAATACGCTGCCGAGGATGTTTAGACCTAAAGTGACTAGAGTATATCCGTGGATGCTTTCGAGGGATCTGTTCACGTGCTGATCACTGTTTACGTTTAATGTCTTTCTTCAGCGCCCAGAGTTTAGATATCGATAGATGTTTCTCGAATGCCCACGATGTCTTCCGACCCATCCCGATGATGCTGCAAGCTATACCACTGTTGACGAACGGTGGCGAATTTCGGGTTGCATAAGCGTCTTTATTGCAAATGCGTCTCGTCGTTACTAAAGGTCCCAGTTACGAGGGCATTACAATGCGTCTCATCCTATTGGACCTGATATCCAACCCTCTATAACGGAATTTGTGGCAACTCAAGCGGAAACTTTTCTCTGACTTCAGATCTTCGGCATCGTTAAGATAATTTTTGTTTGTTTGTCTAAGATTTCTTTAGCATCATTGCTACAATCACATTCTTTTAAAATACTACAACAATTACATAACATAAGAGAAACAAAATTTGTGTGTCTATATTTTAATCAGATTAAAATATATATATATATATATATATATATATATAAAATAGGAAAATAATGGGCAAAATCCGCAAAAAGAATGAAAGTGGATTCGAGCAGAAAATAAGATAGGTAACCCGAGCGATACATATTTCTGCTGGTTGGCTTCATCAGGCCAGAAATGAATGCACATATGCAACTACAAAAGTAGATACACATGCCCATACATCCGGATACGGATGTAACCTGAGGAAACGAAGATGGAGAGAAAAAAAAAGAAACACACACTTATAACTTAAACTCAAGCTTTCGAAGATCTATGTCTTCATCGTCTGGAGCTGGAAACAATTATTGACAATAGCAACAATTAACAATTAGGAGGAAAAATAGTTACTTACTAAGTCGGCGAGATTGTTGCTGAAATTGTTTTTAAACAACACTGAAGGGAACACATAGTCGACGAATAAAAAACTGGACCAATGAGGTTCGATTAGGACGGAATTCTTTGATTATTATTAAATGGCAAATCATAGCTATGTTTTTTATTTTTGAAAAGGTTTTTTCCTTAAACGTTGATTGAATTTGGAAGAAATTTGAAATTTTTTTAAAACTATCAACTATTGAAAATTCCTTCGAGATTTCATCTTTTTCCCACTGATAACCTCCACATTATCCTACACGTGCCGGCCGACTGACATTCTACAGTGGCCTATGAAGTATGACATTGAAGTTATTGCAAGGTCATTCGTAGTGTCGTAACTGTGACGTGTGTTGTCTATTATGTATGTAGTTTTGTAATATAGTGCAAGAGGTTAATTTTTAATTGTTGTTATTGTCAATAATTGTTTCCAGCTCCAGACGATGAAGACATAGATCTTCGAAAGCTTGAGTTTAAGTTATAAGAGTGTACTTTTGCAATACTTTGCCTTCTACCCAAAGAAATTCAAGGATATTTCTATATATACGTATATATATATACGAGCAGTAGTCATTGCCATTGCCAACGAGCAATTATTAATTGGAAAATTGGGAAAATTTTTTAGGCTTTAGAAAACTCTTTTAACGGTAATTTCGAGAAATAATCTATATATATATATATATATATATATATATATGTGAAAAATTAAAGCTTCCGCCTTTTGTTGGGTACTTCGACAAAATTTAAGCAAGGAGGACTCTATACTTTTTTATTCTCTCTAGCTTTCAATGGTCTTTGCCATCATCATCAGGAGCTGCAGTTACATTGATAACAGTAGGAACAATTGTGTAAAATAAATTTAAATTAACTTACAGTAGTATGTGAGGATGTTGCTAATTGTTGTTTACGTGTATATATATATTAATGTATCGGTATGTAGCTGAATCTTACAATAATCTAAAATATTGCAAATACCACTAATGTTTACTACCTTGTGGTACACCAATATAAATATTTTTTGAGCTTGTTAATGTAGATCCAATTTTGTTTTTTTGACTTCTGTCAATTAAGTAGTTTTGTAGAATTTTGTATACTGATCATTTAAATCCATAGTGATGCAACTTTGTCAGTAACTCATTCCTGTCGATAGTTTCAAACACTCGTTTTAAGTCCAAAAACACTGTCACTGTATGTTTCCTGTTGTCCATACATTTCCTCCAATCCCCTAATGCCATTTGTATTGCCGTTTCAGTTGTGTGTTTCTTCCTGAATTCAGCTTGGAATTTGGTTACATTTTTATTTTCCTCTATCGATTCGATGACCTGTTCGTAAATAATTTTTCCAAAGACTTTTTCAACATCTGGCAGAACATTTATTGGCCACATATTGGTGTACAGCACAGAATTCTTAACTTTAAACAGGAGTTATGGAAGAACACTTCAGTTTTGTTGCAAATTCGCCATATTGTAAACACTAATTCATCAAGATTAACATTCTTGCTCCAATAATTTCAAAACCTTCATTCGGTACCCTTTTAGACTGAATCTCACTCTTATTTTGATTTCATTTCAGTTTTGATATAATCTTCTTGAGACGATTAATGTTTATTGTTCTGAATTCACTGAATGATGCATTATAATCTGATCTAATGGGACATTGGTTGGGATCCCCGTCAATAATTGATCTTACAATGTCGTTGACACTTTGTGTGAAATAGGTATTCATTCGATCTGCTATTATCTTCTCATTTGTCATTACCCCATCGACGAACTTCATTTTAGATAATGCATTTCTTCTAATAGGAAAAACAATGTTTTCCACACCTGTTTGCTATTATTTTTACTGTTATCAATTTTGGTATTGCTTTTTTTTTCATCTCGTACAACTGATATAGATTGGTTTCTTGATCTTGTGTGTTCTAGCCAATCATTGTAACTCTCAGTAATCATAAACTTTTTATAATTGTAGTTTCTTTTCAATTTAGAATCCGTGAACGCCTGTGGGAATCAAGGTGTTGGATTTACAAATAAATTGTTGTCTTGACTGTAGCTTCATTCATGCAAACTTCATCATTATCCTATAGGCTTGAATAGTAGCTATCAATATCAACAGACATTCCAGTCATATTTTGCAGTAAAAGAGAATCTGAGAATTTTACACAGTTAATTAATATTAGTAATTTCTTCCACTTTGTAAGCATCAAATATACTTTCAACTTCAAAATATACCCATGAATGATCACTGATTTTAGGAGTATGCATAACTTTTGCAATTAAATTTTGTTCGTTCATTATTATTATTCAATCATAATGGTAACTTATTACTCACTGGCAAAGCTCTACGAAGGCCTCATGGTTCTTAATGAATATAACTACAAACAATTCCTCATTCCTTTAACAACGTTAGCACGTTGAATTACGATGTAGTCTGTAGTTTGTACCTCTATTATTTCAGGACTTCGAGAGCACTACGTCACATCTCCTGAAAGTCTCCTAGATCTACTTCAAAAAGGCGATCGTAGGAGGAGGATCGCATCTACGTTAAACAATAGAAGATCGAGTCGTAGTCATTCCGTTTTCACAGTAGATTGTGCTGGAGCAAGATTGAGGTAAGATCATATCGACCACTGTAACGAAGACTATAGTAACTCAAAAATCCTTGCCTTTGACTTACTATATGGTATCGATAGACTTTATCGGGTTCTCTTTGGTGGAAGAATATGGTATCTCAGTCATGCAACTATAGGCAACCAGTATATCTTCTACGCCATATAGTAAGTATAATAGTAGCGGTTGCCCCCGCGAAAACTACATCAAATTGAGTTACTTTAGTTTTCGATGCACGATCACGGAAAGTCTAACTTACTGTTAGACCTACTGTCTGACTTACTATGATTTTCGCGGCATACTTTAAGGTTACGGTAATTAATAGCGAAAACGTTTCAAGTATTAGCTGTATGAAAAGAGCAGTTTTCAAAACGAACTAAACTGAATTCAAGAACGAAAACAATTCTGGCAGATGCAAAGAAGCTAACTGCAGTTGCTGGACCGTTAAATTCAGGCAAGTTTGGTTCATAAATAGTGATGAACTCTTTTAACACAGCAAAAAGGCTCAAACATAGCATCCTCTTCTGCACGTTATGCATTGGGATCTGTCAAGGTCTGTTTCTCTCAACTAATACAGTCCTCGGCTTTGCTAAGACGACACTCACGTGACTTATGTCGTACTGATTAGGGCTTAAGAGCCCTGTCTGCGGTTAGTCGTGGATCCATTAGTTTTAAATAAAAGGTTAAATCTGAAAATTGGAACAAAGACGATTGTGGAGAAAAATTGAAAATAAATAAGATAAGTGCCTACTGAAATGAAATATGAGTGTGACTATGCAGATGATCTCACGATAGTAACATTGATTATCACAAAATGAGACCGCAAAACAATACGATTCAGGAACTATCTTTGCTGTACACAAGCTTGCTTCCAGTAGGTTTAAATGGTTTATCAGACCTACGTAAATCAAAAGCAAAAAGTCTTCCTAGTATTTCTGAGGCTTACTTGCTTTCCATTTTTCTCTAAAAGATAAGGAAGTTAAAAAAATACAAAAAGGACATGATATTAACAGTGCTGAAAATACAGAAGTTGCGAACGATGATAGTGAAGAACACGATGATAAATATAATTTGAGTGACTCAGATTCGCATTAAAGAGCGAGTGTCTGTTTTTCTTTAATTGATCCAACGAAAACTATAGTAAGTCAACAAAATTTGTTAAAAAATTGTCATTTTCGCTATGTTTGTATTGTATAACCTTCTACAGGGTTACAGGTAAATAGGTGTAAAACATTTTAGGAGGTGATAGTACAGCTGCTGCAGCTGCTTTGGTATAAAAATTAGTATATAATACCATACCCTATATTAAAAGGTTAAAAAGTTATGGAAGATATAATTTCTTTTAAAAAAACAACCCAGATTACAGAGTAAAATAGTTGAGATAAAAAAAAGTTGGTGATTAAACATTCTTTTTTTGGTGGTTTCAGGTTATTATTTAAATAAATGATTCTCAAAAATTAAAAAACATGAAAACACTACTGAAAACGTATTTATTTTCATTTAAATTTTAAATGAAAATTTTTATTTTCAACTTTCACATCAAGAAGTCTTTTTTTCAAAAAAATCATAATAAAGAAAATGTACAAATAACTGCAAAAACTTCCTCGTTTCATTAGGTTTCTAAAATGGTATAATAACATATCAGTAAGTAAACCATTCAACAAAACAATATTACTTTGCTAGAAATGACCGCTAAGCGCATTTCATTGTACTGAACAGGTAAACCGAGCCTTTCATGGTTCGACCCTCTTTGTTATTTTTTGTGCCCTGTGCCGTTATTCGGGTTTAAGTATTCGGAATCTGCCGTCGCTCCTCGGAAGCAAGCTCTGCGTGTGTTATGAATTGACACAGCTGACGGATCAAGGAAAGGGAACTATCGCTTAGGTTAGTTAGTAGAATATCAACCTTTAACGCGGTAGGACGTACTTTTACTTTTTTGATCAGTTTTAATAATGGCGAGTTACCGTAACGAAGAATACGGTGATATTCTGTTTTGTTATGGTTTAAGTGATGGAAATTCCGTTGAAGTCAGGCGAGAATACGAAAACCGTTTTCCGAATCGGCGAATACCCAGTCATCGAGTATTTGCTTCTGTGTACCAACGCATCAAGGAAAGTGGACAGGTGCTACGGCAGAGACCCGACGACGTCTACACGAGTTATAGCAAAGCAGCTTGGTTTAACTCAGTGGAAAGTTTGGTTCGTTTTGCATTCGACGAGACTTTACCCTTTCCATTACACACCGGTTCAAGTATTAGAAGAAGGAGATCCCGCAAGAAGAATTGATTTTTGTCGATACATGCTTCATCGGGATCAAGAAGAAAACGACTATTTAACTAAAATATTGTGGACCGACGAGTCTAAGTTTGACAGAGAGAGGACAACAGATTATCACAACTTACATTATTGGGCCCCACGAAAGGCAAATCCCCACATGGCAAAGCCAAGAGCCCATCAAAGAAGATTTTTGGCAAAACGTGTGGATGGGAATCATTCATACGTATCTAATTGGAGCAGTTTTTTTGCCTGACAACCTGAATGGCGAATCCTATGAAAACTTTTTGAGATCCGAACTCTGGGAGTATCTCGAAGACCTGCCTCTGAATATCAGGATGCAGATGATCTACCAACACGATGGCTGTCCCGCGCATTTCCGTCAGGGTGTTAGACAGTGGCTGGACGAGAAATATCCTTGTCGCTGGATTGGCCGAGGTGGACCGACACCGTGGCCAGCGAGGAGCCCAGATTTAACACCGTGTGACTATTATTTATGGGGGCACATGAAGTCACTGGTGTACGCTGAGCCCATAGATACCCTTGCACAGTTGAAAGAAAGAATTATTGCTGCTGCTGACACTATCAGAGGACAACTAACTGGCCGCATCACGCGTACCAACATGAGAAAAAGACTACGGGCTTCATATCATTATTGTATTTTACTTACCAATTGTGGTAACTTTTAGTCAGGTTTTATTATTCTGTAGTACAATTACAACTGTGTAAATAATCTAATCGTGTGTACAGTGTGTACAGTTACATTATTTTCACAAAAACACTTTCTTATCAATCAGAGAGTTGTGGAAATAGGAGACAAGCCATTGGTAAATTTACTCCCTATTGTTGTATTACAATACATTATGTTTAGTTTCACACAGTTTTTGTGCACTTATCATACCAATTTAGATTCCTTAGGAAACAAGGATATTATTTAAATTGTTTGTACGTTTTTTGTATACTGATTTTTTTGTAAAACACCTTACTCACTGTAAAACGTTATTTGTTTTTCTTAGTTAAACATTTTTGAATGAAAATAAGTACGTTGTTTGGTATTGTTTTCGAATCTTTTTTAATTTATAATAGTTAATTATTGAAATAATAACCCAAAACCACAAAAATCAAATGTTTAATCGCCAACTTTTTTCTCTCTCGACTTTTTTACTCTGAAATATGGATTGTTTTTAAAAAATCTTAAATCTTCAATAACTTTTCAACCTTTGAATATAGGGTATGGTATTATATACTAATTTCGATAGCAAAGGGGCTGTACTATCACCTCCTAAAATGTTTTACACCTATTTACCTGTCACCCTGTATATACAAGGATTACTGTGCAACATATTTTTGATGAGATCATAATTTTTTTTACAACGAAATTCATCAGAAAATCTTCTAATGCCCGTATCTCAAGTAACCAAAACTGAGTTACAATAGTCTTCCTTGCAGGGGTCGATATGACAATTGACCCTTGAGAATTCTTATGCGTTGGATCTAAAATCTTAATCCAGATCATAGTAGACTAATGAGAAGGCGTCTTTGTAGTAATGGATCAACTGAATATAGTCGATTTCTTCTAGCATATCTGTCAAAGTAGCGAAAAAATGTACGAGTTGTATCAGAAGGGCCTCTAATCCCTATATTAAATCAAGAAATTCTTTATAAATCACCTGCTTCAGATACAAAAACATATGTTTGCATTTGATCTGGAGATCAAAATCCTTTCATAAAGTTGCATTGAAAATTGCCCAGTCCCGAACAAGTATCATAAACCCACCTTGTAGATAATAGGAACGAATTCAAAACAAACATAAACATCTCAGAAAATTAGAAAAAGTTACATCGGTTCTTGATTAGGTGTGGATTTCACCAAATCCTTTAATTATCTTCCATTATCACACTTTTAGCTGCTGTACGGAATCCGCATGTTCCTCGGATTCAGTTATTATTTATTTAACTATTAACACCTTTATCTGGCTTATACAAGTATATACTGTAGCCTCTGTTTTATAGAACTTTAGGAAAAATGGTAGGAACCGGATAAGAAATTGTCCATCAAAAAAAAGAAACGTCTGTGATAACAAAGTCTGCAACATGTAAAATCTCCTTTCTTGTGCCTCTTTGTCGTTGAGATAACGATATTCCAATGCGCATTTCAAGTTTTCACTATTTTGTGATACAATAACATATTTATGAAAATCAATACAGGTCAATGACAAGTTAAATTTGCCCTAATGCAATAGGAACCTCGCTGGCAGACTCGTTTTATTTTGTACAACATAGCTATTCCACACTCGTTAAAATGAATTATTATCTGGAAACACTGCACGCTATTCGTCACAATTGTTGATAAATTTGAACCTATGATAAACACAAACGATCAAATGAAACTAATATTATTATTTTAATTTCTGTTGGTGCATCCTGTTTTTTAAATTATTCGGGTAATCAGTACGTATTCGAAATATGGGTCCGATAAAAATATATATCATTGTTATATGACACGATAAACCAGTGCATTATTTGAAATTAATGAAGTAGTATAGATATACAGGGTGTTCCTTAATGATATGCGAATATTTAAGGGTGTGAATCTACATGAAAAATTAATGTCAGTTTGCTTTATAAAGTCTAGTCCAAAAACGTTTCCTTACAAAACCTCGGGATGTTGAAGTTTTAGGAAAAA